AATAGAGATAACATCACTCTACATTTAAGGCATATGATATAGCAATGTTTACTCAATGGTTTGCAACTGTATTTAAAACCAACCAGTTGAGCAGCATTGCAAAGAACAGATGAATTTAAGTAAACTAAATAGCATGCATTAAGCAAGTACATTATGCTATTTCCTATGTTTACCATTATTTCCATGGGGCAAGTACTGCTAGTAATCTTACTTTTATAGGTGAAGAAACTGAAAGAGGTCAAGTAAATTTTTTTGACAAGTCAGTAGTAACAAAACAACAAAATTATATTTAAAAAATGATGTTGGCAAAACTGGATATCCATATGGAGAAAAATCTCAATTTGTAGTAGCCACTTCACTTTATCATGATAGCAACTATGATGGTTGGTAGTGGCATGTAGGGTTGATACATAGAGCAGAAAAAAGTGGCCTGAAACAAGTCCTCAAACCACATTTCTTTCATTCGTGTGTCCTCAAAGGAACTAATAAATTCAAGAAATGTTTGCTTACATCTACATCATTTAAAATTTCAGTAGAGCAACCAGAGATGCACTGTAATACAGCAAAAGAGTACTGGGTTTGGAGTTAAAAAGCCATATAGTTCAGTGATATTTCCACCACTTACTAATGAGTTAAGGCAAGTTACTTAACCTCAGTCCCAGTTTACACATCTCTACATTGAGATTTCATAAAATAGAAGAATACGATATTTGTGTAAAAGCCTAGCAAAATACGGGTTTCCCTGGTTGCACAGTGGTTAAGAATCCACCTGCCAATGCAGGGGACACAGGTTCGAGCCCTGGTCCGGGAAGATCCCACATGCCGCGGAGTAACTAAGCCCATGCGTCACAACTACTGAGCCTGCGCTCTAGAGCCTTTGAGCCCAACTACTGAAGCCTGTGCGCCTAAAGCCGGTGCTCTGCAACAAGAGAAGCCACAACAATGAGAAGCCCAAGCACCGCAAGGAAGAGCAGCCCCCGCTCACCGCATCTAGAGAAAGCCCGCGCATAGCAATGAAGACCCAACGCAGCCAAAAAAAAAAAAAAAAAGCCTAGCAAAATATCTGCCACATTTGTGTTTACCAGGCATTACTTTCAAAGATAACCAAGTCTAACATCTTCTTTAACAATGAAAGTGACTGCTGTGTACGAAGAATATTTAAAAGGAAAAGAAAAATACTAGATTTTATTGCTACAGAGGGAAAAGGTGCCCATGTAGGTGGTAGGGGGTGGTGGTGTCCTGATGATTTTTTAATAAAAGCAGTTGGTTGGAACTCTAAACACAAATATCCTTACACTTCTTTATAATGCCACAGAACCTCACCATGAAATATACAGGCATTTCTGTTAGAATATAAGAATCACATCTACCCATCCTATAGCTGTAGTATTGAACAGTGACTCATTTGATATCAAACAGCGTTGAAGGTCCTTCTCATAACTAGCAGAGAAATACAAGGAAAGAGGGGGCAGGGGGAGTCTAGAAAGTATGCATATAAGTTAACTATAGCCACAGTAATACTGCACAGAAAACAATAACAAAAACGATAGCATTTATTTAGCTCAGGAGTTAACAAGTTCGGGGTTTGGCTGATCCTGGCTAGGCTCATTTGTGACTGCTCTACTCTGGACTTGACTGGATAGCTTAGCTGGGGCAGCTGAGCCCTATTTGTCTCCTCTTTCTCCTGGGACCAATGGGCTAGTCTGAGTATATAATTTTTATGGTGATGGTGGAAGCACAAGAGTGAACCATCCTAACTGCACAAGCCTTTTTTTCTTTTTTTGCACAAGCTGTTTTTGAGACTGCTTGCTGCACATCTGCTAATATCCCCTTGGCTTCATTAAGTCATATGGTTGACTCCACTTTGCAGGAATTATGTCTCTAGTCAGTGGAAGAAGGACATCAAATTACATGGCAAAGGGCACAAATACAGAGAGGTGAAGACCTGGAGCCATTAATGCCATTTACCACAGTGACGACATAGAAAGAAGCTCTGTGTGGATCTGCAACTTCTCAGTACAGAGTTTAACAAGCATTGAGTTTCTAGCATGTGCCAGATACTGTATTATATGTTGAGACTACAAAGATATGTAATACACGGCCTCTGTTCATGAGAACCAACAGTATTTTGAAGAAGATATTAGCAAGTGCCTGCAGTGGAGAGTTTTGGTTGCTCTGTAGGGAGAAGAGTAGGCTATAAAGGAAAAAGCGGCTAATCTTAGCACGGTTCAGAATGCAAGTGATTTGGAAGGGTTTTAAATAAGAAGTGATACTTGAAGTGAAACCTTAGATGTAGTTAAGGTGAGTGGAGGTGGGGTTTTTGAATAGTCTCGGAGGGTATATTTCTAGGAAAGCTATGGGGCAGCAGAAATAAATGCTGTTCCTGGAACATCTTACATGTCGTAAGTTGTATTAATTAGGACTCTAGGTTGCAAGTGACAGAAAGTAACAGATCAGCTTAAAAAAAAAAAAAAGAATTATTGGCTCACTGATGAAAAATGACACCATTAGGACTTTCTGTGTCTTGTTTCAGCAAGTGTCTCTTGTTGGTCTCATTCTCTTAGCATCCTTCCCAGGACAGGGAACACGACAACTAGCAGCTATGAGGTAACTTCCTTATAGTTCATCATTTAAGATGAAAGAGGAAAATTCTCATCTAATGTCTCTTTATAAAATTCCAGAGGAGTACTGATTGGCCCCAGCATTAATGCATCCTGTCCCTAGCCAATCACTGTGATTAATGCTCACTGGGTTAACTCACTGAAGAGTAGTTATGAAAATGGCCTATAAATCCCAATCTCTGTCCACCCTCCCGCATATTTGTTCCAGGGCAGAAAAGCAGTCCTGCATCTGCTTGCACAGCTTTTAAGTTCATAACAATATTTAGTGCTGGGCCTCTTAAGCTCTATAATATTGGGTTGAACCATATGAAACTGTCACCATTCAACCAGTTTTGACTTAGAAAAAAGGCAATTTCATATGGTTCAACCTACATAGACAATGGCATCTCACTGACTCTAAGCCAACCTGGATGTCTCTGTCATATTCACACCATGAGTCAAAGCCCTTTCCCTGTCTTCATGACCTCATTTAAGCTTAATTACCTCCTTAAACTCCCTACCCCAAATATAGTTATATTGGGTTATATACAAATTTTGGAGGAACATAATTCAGTTCATAACAAGGTCACAACAGTTACATGTTATTGATTTTATGTATTTATTCTGTCTGTGAATATACTGTAATATTCCCATTCCTTTCAGGCATGAGACTTAATGAGGCCAATATGGAACTCCTGAGGGCACAGTGGGCTTGGCCTCAGCACTGACTTTAGAAGGCAAATATAAGGGTGGAATGTGGAGTGGAGACAGCTATTTTCCCAGACCTGGGATTGCCCCTGCAACCTGGTTTGTTTTAGGCACTTACTAAATAAGTGCTGAGTGACTGAGACAGGTAGGGAATGTGGTCAAAGAGAGGTTTCTTTTTTCAACTGCTTTCTGTCACCTCAATGAAAGTTAGAAAATTACTACCACCCAGGTAGTGTTGCACTATCCTTACCTTTTTCCTTCTGTGGCTAAAGACCTCAGCTGAGACCACTGAAGCCAAAAGGTGACACATTTTTTTATGTGTTCTTGATCTCTGATTTTAAAACCTGGTTTGTGTTTAGATCCAAAAATCCCACACAGCAGCCCACAAAAGCTAACGTTCATAAAACTATGACCCATAATCTATTTTCAAAAACTCACTCGTCTTTTTCTTGTCCCTCATGCACTCTATGCAGGAAATACATAATCTTCGGAAATACTCCCTAAATTCTCTTCTATTCTTTTCCATTGCTGCCTTCACACACTGCTCCTTTTCTTTTGCATTTCTTGCCTCAAATCCCTTTAAAAAATGGTCTGGGATCTCCTTATTGGTCACCTCCACTCCTAAACTCTTCTTGTTTTCCTCTCCTTCAAAAAACCATGAACTAGTGTGAAACGGCAGTTTATGAGGAAAGAAGGAAGAGAGAAAAGGTAGCAACACTAATATGCCAATAGTATTTTATTCCTGCTCCCCTTTCCCCAACATAAAGAATTAATTTACATTTAGCAGTTCGCTATACTTACTCTGGTAGATAAATGGTTAAACACTACCGGACTACTTGATGATGAGGAAACAGTGTTCCAATCAGTGGAAAAGTATTCAACACTGTAAGTCAAGAATCCAAGTTAAAACTACTATTATCATGTGTCAGAACAAATTCTTACAAAGATTTCAGTGTATGCATGACATTCTAAGTTGGTTCAGCCCTTCTTTTTCAAAGGAACTCGATTAAATAGAAGAAAAATAAGATGCTTATATCCTTTGATCAATTTTTTTAGTACAAAATAATGTAAATTTTTTCTTAAGTTATTTATAGCGGCATTTTTCTGACAATGTGCCAGGCTGTCAACAACATAAGCGCCAGTATTTGAATATTAAATAAAGAATAAATACAAACGTCAAGGGCCTTTAGAGTGAAAAGGAATCATGCCCAGAGAGTAGTGTTAATGGAGAAAAACAAAGAAGCAGAAGACCCTACTCTTGTACAACTCTCTAAAATACATTTAAAAAAAGCTATCCACGTGATGATGATAATGAGATTTCCCTTAAATTTTCTTTATTGTTGTTAGTGTCAACCAAAAACTGAAAGACAAATGACATTGGAGAATCAAACAATATACCTTTACCTTACTGTGTATTGTATATAGACAAAGATTGAAAAACAGTATCAATAAGGCAAAGAGTTGTTGTAATGCTCCGCCTTCGGCCCTTTGTAGGGGTGTGAAAACAAACAACAAAAAACCACCCACCTTACTCACCTGCCGCAAACTCAAGCCTACCTCCTCAGCTGGCGGAGGAAGCGCTATTGGCCCCGGCCCCGCCTCCAGAAACGCCTCGTGACGTCAGCGATGCGGCCGGAAGTGACGTCAAAGCTGCGACGCCCCGTGCCCGCTGCTAGCTGGTGCCGCAGGGTTTAGGTCGATCCAGAAGCGGCGGGCTTTCCCCGGATGGTTGCAGCAGAGGGATCATGACGGGGAAGAAGTCTTCCCGGGAGAAGCGGCGCAAACGAAGCGGTCAGGAGGCGGCGGCGGCGCTCGCGGCGCCCGCGGCGCCGGACCCGGTTCCCGCCGTCGCCAGCGGCGGCAGTGGAAGCACCAGCGGTTGCGGGAGCGCCAGCGGCTGCGGGAGCGTCACCTGCTGTGGGAACACCAGCTTGAGTGGAAGTGTCACCGGCGGTGGGAGCTGCGGCAGCTGCTGGGGTGGGAGCAGCGTGGAGCGCAGTGAGCGCCGTAAGCGGAGGAGCACTGACTCATCTGCCAGCGTCTCCGGCTCCTTGCAGCAGGTGCGTGCGTGCTCTTCTCGCCTCTTCTCGAAGCGGCTGCGTTTCCGGAAGAAGGTGGGCTAGGAGCGGAATGTGGCAGCGGGATGCGGAGCCGGAGGTATCTTATGTTAGCGCTGCAATCCTAAGGGGTCCCGTGTTTGAAGTTCACGTTCCTAAGTTCCCTTGAACCCCACACTCGCACGTCTTGAACTTAAAGTTTCCGATTTACCGATCGTCTGACTCATACTGCTTTTGGCTTCTTCCACTCCTGTGGTCTCCTCAGTCTCCTTGAAAAGTATGGGTCAGGAACTACCCTTCAGTGCCCTTGCGAGCCGCGCTTTATTTCTCTCTTCCACCACGTTACAAGATGAGAAAATTGAGGCCCAAAGAGGTTAAGGAAGTTTACCCACAGTCAGTTTGTTAATAACGCCTACATTCGAATGCAATATCTGATTATAAAAGCCATGTTCTTTATGCTCCATCGACCTAGCAAGATATTAACGTTTTTTAAAAAAAGTTTGCTTATATTATAAAACAAATGCGTGAATACGTACTTTAAATGTATACAACACAGAAATGAAGGGAAAATCATGGAAGTCTCTATGCTTCCCTATTAATAGTTTGATATGCAGTCTCTTTATTAACTCCTGTCAGCCCTGATAATTCTTTTTTTATTTAAATTTTTTTGAATTTTTATTTTTTATTGGAGTATAGTTGATTTACGGTGTTGTGTTAGTTTCAGGTGTACAGCAAAGTGCCTCAGTTATACATGTACATATATCCTTTTTCAGCCCTGATATTTCTTATATTTTGTTCTTTTCAAAATTTTATTTACTTATTTTTGGCTGCGTTGGGTCTTTGTTGCTGCGCACAGCCTTTCTCTAGTTGCAGTGAGTGGGGGCTGCTCTTCATTGCGGTGCGCGGGCCTCTCATTGCAGTGACTTCTCTTGTGGAGCACGGGCTCTAGGCGCACGGGCTTCAGTAGTTGTGGCACGCGGGCTCAATAGTTGTGGCTCACGGGCTCTAGAGTGGAGGCTCAGTAGTTGTGGCGCACGGGCTAAGTTGCTCTGCGGCATGTGGGATCTTCCCGGACCAGGGCTTGAACCCGTGTGCCCTGCATTGGCAGGCGGATTCTTAACCACGGCGCCACCAGGGAAGTCCTTTTCTTTCTTTTTAATCTAAGGCTTTTAGTATAGTGTTGAACACAAGCGTTCATAGTAGGCATTCTTTTCCCATGTTTTTTGTAGTAGAAACATTTCTAATTTTACACCAGTAAGTGTATTTGCCATAGGTTCTGAAAGATACCTTTGATCAAGTTAAGGACATTTTCTTTAATTCGTGGTTTTCTGAGGGTTGTAGAGTTCTATCAGATGTCTTTAGGGCATTGTGTTGAGGTGATCAGTAGTTTTCATTCTTAATCTGATTATGTAATTTTATTGATAAGTTAACTTATATTGAATTGTCCTCAGCATTCTTGGGATAAATACTATTTGATTTGTTGATTTGGTTGTTGTACTCGGCTGAAATTCAGTATCTTTACTTTTGTGCCTATGTTCTTAAGTTAAATAAGCTTACTGTTTTTATTTTTGTAGTTAACCTGTCTTGTTTTGGTATCAGGGTTATGGTAGTCTTATGGATTGAGTTGGGAAAGCTTTGCATTTTTTTTGGTGTGTTCCAGAGTAGTTTATATCTTTTTCTCAAAGATATGTCGGAACTTGACTGTTGGACCATACAGCTGTCGGGGTCTGGTGGATTTTTCTAGGGGTGTTTTTTTTTTCTCTTAACTGCCATCTATTTTTCCCAGAATTCTTCAGTAGTTATAGATCTATGCATTTTTTCCACCCCTTCTAGATTCAGTTTTGGATATCACCATTCTTATCTTAGTTTCCATGTCTTTAGTACTCTTTAGTATTATGGGGAGACCAATAATAAGGATTCTATAAGCATTTGCATACAGAACTAAACTGTACTTCTCATGGGAAGTAACTGTATTTGTAAAAGAAAAAAAGAAGTCATTATATATTAGGCATGTAGAGAACATTGCAAAATTCCAGTAGTGCCACAATATTTGTTGTGTACTGCATTCCCTATTGTTGTTAACAGCTTTATAGAGATATAATTCACATACCATACAATTCACTAATTTCAAGTATACAGTTCACTGGTTTTTGAGTATATTCACAGAGTGGTGCAACCATCACTGTAGTCAATTTTAAAATATTTTCATCATCCCCAGAAGAAACCCTATATGTAATTTTTAGCTGTCATCCCTACTAGCCCTACACCCATACACCCATTCTATCCCTAGGCAATCACTAATCTACTTTCTATCTCTATAGATTTTTTTCTTTTGGCTGCGTTGGGTCTTCGTTGCTGTGTGCGGGCTTTCTCTAGTTGTAGCGAGCGGGGCTATTCTTTGTTGCGATGTGTGGGCGTCTCATTGTGGTGGCTTCTCTTGTTGCGGAGCACGGGCTCTATGGCGTGCTGGCTTCAGTAGTTGTGGCACGCGGTTCTAGAGCGCAGGGTCTGTAGTTGTGGCACACGGGCTTAGTTGCTCTGCAGCATGCGGGATCTTCCCAGACCAGGGCTCGAACCCGTGTCCCCTGCATTGGCAGGCGGATTCTTAACCACTGAGCCACCAGGGAAGTCCTCTCTATAGACTTATACATTTCCCTGTTCTGGGCATTTTATATGAATAGAATCATATGTGATCTTTTGTCTGGCTTCTCTCACTTAGCATATTTGTTTTTCAGAGTCTGCCCATGTTTTAACACGTATCAGTACTTCATTTCTTTTTGTAGCTGAATAATATTTCATTGTGTAGCTAATACCACATTTAATTTTTTAATTTGTCAATTGATGTAGACATTTGGATTGTTTCCAACTTTTGGCTATTATGCATAATGCTGCAATGAGCATTTGTGTACAAGTTTCTGTGTGGACATTATGGTTACATTTCTTTTGGATATATATCCAGGAATGAAATTTCTGCATCATATGGCAACTTTATAAGGAACTACAAACCATTTTCCAAACCAGCTGCACTGTTTTATATTCCTACTAGCACTGTATGGGAGTTCAGTTCCTTTACATCCTTGCTAACACCTGAATTGCTTTGTGAGCCATTAGGACAAGAGCTAACCTTTGCTTTTTCAGTGTAATTATCATAGTGTTCTTTAAAATTAGCCTGTTTTTAAACTGCATTTTAAACAATTGCGTTAGAAAGTATAAAAAGGAAAACTACTTGAATAATATAGTTAGGGATTTTCCTGAGGAAATGACTTTTAAATTGATACCTGAGTTTGTTGATCTTGAGAGTATAGAGTGATGGGGAAGTGGGGAAGAAAGACTCTCCTAGACAGAAGAACAGTGTGTACAAAAGCCCTGCCTGTATGAAATGAAGGGAGAAAACCTTATGTTTGAGTAGTTCAGACAAGGTCGCTGTGTTTGGAACACAATGAGCATGAAGGACCTAATAGGCTATGTTACCCTAAGAACAGTGGGAAGTCAATGACAGCTTATATCAGTAAATAGGGAGGATGAGTATATGTGCGTTTTATAAAATCCATTTTGGTGACAGTATACAAAACAGATTGGCAAGACCTCATATTAGATGTAGGGAGTCCAGTTAAGTGCTACTGAGGTAATCTAGGCAAAAAGAGGATGGTACCTTGGATCAGGGTTATGGCAGTAGATTTGGAGAGACTGGATAGATTTGGGAGATAGGAGGTAAAATTGATTGAAATGTCTTAAATTACTTGCCTGCTTTGAATATCATTAGATATATAACAGTTTTTAAAATGATAGAGACTTCCCTGGTGACCCAGTGGCTGAGAATCCATTTTCCAATGCAGGGGACGCGGGTTCGATCCCTGGTTAGGGAACCAAGATCCCACACTCCGCGGGGCAACTAAGCCTGCACGCTGCAAGTACTGAGCCCACGCGCCTCAACTAGAGAGTATGCGCGCTGCAAACTGCAGAGCCTGTGTGCTGCAACTAAGACCCAATGCCACCAAAAATAAATAAATAAATAAATAAATAAATAAATATTTTTTAAAAAGAAATCTTTATTTAAAAAAATGACAATAGCTTCTGGTAAGCAATGATACTTTATTATGTAATATTTGTGGTTTATAACATTTTTGCTGCTATCCCATTTCTTTTTATGAATTAAGAAGAATGACAATGCATACATAAAATTCTTGGGTGAATTGTCTACTGGAGGAATATCGTATTCCACAAGTATAAAATTGTAGGAAATCATTCAGTATTGAGTATATTTTCCTTTGTGTGTCCTAGGATATTATCTCTTCACTTTTTCTTAATTAATTGATAATTACAGAGTGGAGAGTAACTTCAAAGAATACTGAGCAATTAAATAATCTTTCCTATGGTTTTAAATAAATAATTTGTGCAAAAAAAGAATTTGGAAATGTTTAACAAGATTTTATTAAATGAAAATGTATGACATTATAGACATATTTCTGTTGTCTAATGGTTCTTTATCTCTTTTAATTTTAGGAAGCCAAATATCTTTTGCCAACTCTGGAAAAAGAGTTATTCTTGGCAGAGCACAGTGACCTTGAAGAAGGTGGATTAGACCTGACTGTGGCATTAAAACCAGTTAGTTTCTATATATCAGACAAAAAAGAAATGCTTCAGCAGTGTTTCTGTATCATAGGAGAGAAGAAGTTACAGAAGATGCTTCCTGATGTGTTAAAGGTACTTCATTACATACATTATCAGGCTATCCACATATACAGAATATACAAACACTTTTTTTATAGCAGTCATTTTACTTAATGGAAATTATAATTGGATGTTTTCAACTAATATGAGCTACTTCAAAAAGATATAAAGAAGGGATTTTGTAGAACGTAAATGGCTTTGTATATTTAAAATTTTGCCAGGAAGAAATAGGGTACTTTACTATATTTAGGTAAGGAATTTTTTGACCTTCTGGAAATTACTCTATTAAATACAGGCAGTTTAAGTAACTAAGTTAGAGGTATACTGATTTTTTCTGGTGCTTTAAGCAGTAGTGTACTGCTGTGTAACAGTATGCAATGATAGTTGGTAATAGCCTATATTTCATTAAATTCATGAATGTTTTCATATATTTATCACTGAAAATTATTCAGGGAAATACATGGTATTCTAATTTTACAGATGTGGAAAAAAAGCCGTGGACAAGTTAAGCCCAACATCATATATATCTAAGATGTATGGAGCTAGGACTTGAATATTTAAGCCTTTAGAGGTATTACCTAACATAAGTAGGCTGCAATTAAGAATATCTGGGCACCTACTTATTCTTCAGTTTGTTCTTCATAATAAACATGACTTTATATATCCAAATCAAAACTCTGTAAATTATAATATTTACATGTTAACTGGCAGGTCTTCACATTTCATCCCAGAAAAAAATTTATGTGGCTTTTAATTTGTTTTACTGTGGGATTTTGCTTAGCAGACTTTTTTTTTTAAATGGTTGCTGTTTTCTAGTTTATATTGGTGCTTTGTTATATAAATGCATTTTTTAAAATGTCATTTTCTTTAGAACTGTTCAATAGAAGAAATTAAAAAACTGTGCCAGGAACAGTTAGAGCTCCTGTCTGAAAAAAAAATCTTGAAGATTCTTGAGGGTAAGAATGCGTATTTCTACCTTCTGGTAACTTAGTGGTTAATACTATACTTAGCATAAATCCTGAGGTATTCTTTTTTTTTCTTTTTTTAACTTAACTGTTACTTTAATTTTATTATTGGGTAATCACTGAGTATTTTTACCTCTGTTTGTACAGAAATATAGTTTACATATCAGAATAGCGTCTCAGGAATGGACTTTTTGATGTATGTATGGTTTCTCCAAATCAGTTGTGTAGGTAAGAGCATTAAGTTTGTGCACAATAAAAAAATGAAATAAAAAATGTTTACCCAAAATACTATAAAAAATTACTTATTGAGAAGGCAAAGCCTTCTCTTAAAATATTTTAAAATTTTCTGCTTTATATTCTTACTGCTTTTAATTATCTGTTGAATACCATTTCTGCTCTAATAAGACCCAAATGCAGAGTTAGAAGAATTGCCAACATTTATCTGTCTGCCTGAAGTAAGACTCTTCTTTGTATATATTACCTGTAGAATTTTGGATTTTAAAGCTTTTCTTTTTGGGCTCTACAAGGATATTAACATTAGCATTACAAGAGAAGGAACAAAAAAATGGAGAATTTCCATTTCCAGAGATAACATCTTTTTTAAATGTAAAATGGTGATAGATGTATACATGTGTGTATAGTTTGTAAGTATTATATGTACACACCTTCTTGCTTATATATATTTTGTACATTTATAAAATAGATAAAGGGAAGGCAATGACAAATACCTAATAAGGCATTTTAAATATAAGCAATTAAAAATGTCATCTTTCAGCAACTCTCAAGTTATTTAATCGTCACTTTATACATGACACTTTCTGTATAATGATTAAATCACTCTGACATTTTATGAGCATGCTTTCAATTTTTTTTATGTCATTCATAAGGTGACAATGGTATGGACTCTGATGTGGAAGAAGAGGCAGATGATGGCTCTAAGATGGGATCTGATTTAGTTAGTCAGTAAGTTAAAAACTTTCATTTTTATTTCAGAATTTCTTTGTTATCCCTTTGGTGATTTCTTACCTCAAGAATGTGATTGTTTTTCTGTGTTATGTTTATATAAAGTGATTCAACAATGTTGGATTGATTTTTTTACTTGTAATGATTAGTCCTTTTGGTATATATGAGAATGAAGTTAATTGCTTTCAGGATTAAGATGATTTTCTTAAACTACTGCTCAGATATAGGACTGCAACAATGCCAACCTCAAGCCGAATCACATTTCTCATTTGGAATTTGAATATATGTATCACTAGTGATACCCACTATTTATTAAGTATTATACTTACTCTACCAAACATTATGTTAGTAGTTTAGAAGACTTTATCTCACTGAATATCTTCTACATACCTATTAATGTTTGGTGATAATAGCTTCTTTTCATAGCTGAGATAGTAAGGTGGTTCACTTTATATAGGTACATATAATTTGATTATTGTGATGATGAAAAATACCTGATGTTTTGGGATGCTGACTAATCAAGAAGCAACATGCTAATTTCTTTTTCTAGATTACTCTGCTCTGCCATGGGCTCATCAAACTTTCACCCACTGATTTTATCATCTATTGATGATTTTTGACTAAAACAATTTTTTTTTTGATAGTTGCCAAAGACTGACTTGTATCTCTGTTTGCAGACTTTGGCTATAGGCAGTAGCACAAATAAAAACAGATAACCAGAGGCAGTAGCATAAATAAGTAGCACAGATTTAACCTGAAACCTTGAGTATATTTTCATTTCTAATACAATGCTGTTGGGTAAGTATCACTGAAAAAAGATAATTTAATTTCATGTTATAACTGTAGAGGGCATCAAATAATCTACTTATACTGAAGCATTGAAGAAATCATTGTATCTTGGTTGCCTCATAATCAGTAGATTTTTGGTCATCACATACATGTTGCCTAGGAGTGTCACAGGATGATTTAACTTAGCCACAGAGTAGAAAATGTACACATTTCTAAAAAGTCTTGCTATTGATTTTCTTTCAAAATACTTAGCTTTAAATTGCCTATGTAGTATGCTAATCTAGTTCAGATAGTTTAACCATTTACAAGGCTTGTCACTTCTTAGTTTCTTTTTTTTATTTTTTATTTTTTTAAATTTATTCGTTTATTTTTGGCTGCGTTGGGTCTTTGTTGCTGTGCACAAGCTTTCTCTAGTTGCAGTGAGCAGGGGCTACTCTTTGTTGCGGTGTGTGCGCTTCTCTTTGCAGTGGCTTCTGTTGTTGTGGAGCATGGGCTCTAGGCGCGCGGGCTTCAGTAGATGTGGCACATGGGCTCAGTAGTTGTGGCTCGCGGGCTCTAGAATGCAGGCTCAGTAGTTGTGGCGCATGATGGGCTTAGGTGCTCTGCAGCATGTGGGATCTTCCTGGATCAGGGATCAAGCCCGTGTCCCCTGCATTGGCAGGCAGATTCTTAACCACTGCGTCACCAGGGAAGTCCTTAGTTCTTAAATTATCTAAATTAACCATCTTGCTTCTTGATGTTTCTTACAGAGCATCAACTTCTGCTTGATTACATTTGTTTGCCTTTATTTAAGGCAAATGTTTTGCCTCTTTGTTTGCCTCTCCTTATTTTTCCTTGACACTTGAGGTGTCAAGTTTAAGTCCTTTATTGTTCACACCTGAACATTAATGCTACGTTTTCTACTGTTAGAAGCCATTTGATGGATAGCCAATCAGATTAGAAACTTAATTCTCTTAAAAAAAAAATTACAACAAAATACAGTATTTGACTTCTGAACTTTTCTAATGAAAAAAATGGTGATTAGATTCAAAGTGACTATTGCAAAGAACCCATTTTTACAATGTTACTGTAAGACAGATCATGTTAGCTTTTAAATGCTGCAATGAGCAGGTTAAGCAATCACAAATATTACCCAAAACTGTCATAGTAGCCACTTGTGGATCTGATAAGTGCCAGATCATTGGGATTCTTTTGAGTTATTTGAGAATATAGGCTTTAAAAAAAAAAAAGCTACAAGATGCCAAATAAATAATAATACTAAGCTAGAAGATGCCAAATAAGCTAAAGATGCCAGATAAATAATAATATTAAAGCTAACACTTACTGAGCCAGTAAGTGTTGTATGCCAGACACTGTTCTAATCACTTTATATGCCTTCATTCACTCATTGGGTTTGTACAACAACCTTGTGAGGTAGGTGGTATTAGCATCAGCATTTTACAAATGGAAAGATAAGGCCCAGAAAGATTTGTGTGCCTGAGGTCACACAAATGAATGTGAAAGTAGGAGGAATGTTAGTTCTGAAAAGATTATATAAGCATTCATGTTAATGGACCTGGCTTTAAGACACTTAACCTTCCGTAAAACCACTTTATACATTTGTAAAATGTGGGTAATCCTTGCTTCAGTAGGATTATTGGGATTAAATGAGCTAATGTGACTTGTTATTATTTGTTTACTATTTTATTATTAATAATCTTAGTTATGAATGGGGAGATATACTGCAGTGTGAAACAATGAAGGTGGGACAGGGAGTTAATGTGAGAAGATGCTGGCTTTAGTGCATGTTCCTGACATTTGCTATGTGCTTTGTGCTTAAAGGGACAATTCAGTCCTGTTAATCTCTATAGAAGAGAACTAAACCTGGTGGGCAGACTTATAAAAGCCTCGTTCCAGTGCTTCAGCAGAGGGCTAAGTTAGTTAACATGTTTGGTCCTTGGTGCTGAAAATTTCCATGTTTTTTATTACCTGCTGGTTTTTTACTCTCTAATAAATAACAGTAGTCTGAGCTGTCCAGATGCTGAGGGAACAGTTACGAGTAGGCAAAGACCAATGAAAGGAATTCAATAATTTGAGAGAGGAAAATGAAGCTGAATAAGTTGAATAGGTAGCTTCTGTGGAACACAGAATTAATAGACTATAGGAAAGAAAACTTTAACAAAATAATGAAAACTCTCAAAGAAGTACAATTAGAGCACAAGTGTAGTTTTTATTTAATAAATTTATTTATTTATCTTTTTATCTTTGGCTGCGTTGGGTCTTTGTTGCTGCACACAGGCTCTCTCTAGTTGCAGCGAGTGGGGACTGGTGGCTTCTCTTGTTGCAGAGCATGGGCTCCAGGTGTGTGGGCTTCATTAGTTGTGGCACGTGGGCTCAGTAGTTGTGGCTCGGGCTCTAGAGCACAGGCACGTTAGTTGTGTCACGTGGGCTCAGTAGTTGTGGCTAGTGGGCTCTAGAGCACAGGCTCAGTAGTTGTGGCACGCAGGCTTTGTTGTTCCGTGGCATGTGGGATCTTCCCGGACCAGGGCTCAAATCTGTGTCCCCTGCATTGTCAGGTGGACTCTTAACCACTGTGCCACCAGGGAAGTCCCCACAAATGTAGTTTTAGGAACTAAAAATAAATTCTGAATTCCTAAACTTAGGAGACAAACTGATAAAGAGGTTAGCTATGATTGGCGCCACATCATTTTCCTAAGAAATCAAGTTGAATAAATAAATACAGAATAATAAAAGCCACACACATGAGTTATGTTTAACTCATGGCTACCTGGAAGACAATTTTAGACCTATCCTGAACATACTAGAAATTATAGAAAGAGAAACAAATAGCTAGAAAAGTATTGAAGAAATGATCGAATTAAAATTTTTGATTTAAAGACTTAATACTGTAAGGGCAAGGATAATGAGAAAACACCTGGTTATGGGCTGAATTATGTTCCTTCAAAATTCATATGTGGAAATCCCTAACCCCTACCACCTCTGAATGTAATCTCATTTGGGGATAAGGTCTTTAAAGAGGTAAATGGGACTTCCCTGGTGGTTCAGTGGTAAAGAATCCACCTTACAATGCAGGGGATGTGGGTTCAATCCCTGGTCAGGGAACTAGGATCCCACATGCCTTGGGGCAGCTAAGCCCATGCACCACAACTATTGAGCTCGCACTCCTCAACTAGAGCCCACGTGCCTCAGACTACAGAGCCCATGTGCCCTGGAGCCTGTGCACCACAGCTAGAGAAGAGAAAACCCGCACACAACTAGAGAGAAGCCCACACACTGCAACGAAGAGCCCGAGTGCCGCAACTAAGACCTGACGCAGCCAAAAATAAAAATAAAATATATAAACAAAACAAATAAATAATACATAATATTTAATATATAAATAATAAATTTATTATACATTTATAATTTATTTATTTATATTAAATAAATAATAATAAACAAATAAATAATAAATAAATCTTTTTTTAAAAAGAGGTGATTAAGTTAATCCAATATGATTGGTGTCCTTATAAGAAAAGAAAATTTGAGTACACTGAAAGACTCCAGGGCTGGGCACACACAGAGAAGAGCCATGTGAGGACACAGCCAGAAGGCAGCCATCTGCAAGCCTCAGAAGAAACCAAACCTGCAGACACCTTGATCTTTGACTTCTACCTTGCGGAACTGTGAGAAACACATTTTTGTCATTAAGCCAGCCAGCCTTTGGTATTTTGTTGTGGCAGCTTTAACAAACAAATACAAACTTACATGTACGTGTGTGTGTATAAATTTCCCAGTGAAATTTTTTTCCCCAAACTTTTTATTTTGGAAGACTTCAAACTTATATAAAAGTTGAAAGAATGATGTAATGAACATCCATATACCCTCTACCTAGATTCAGCAACATTAACATCTTGCCATTTTTGCTTTTGCTCTCTTCTTATATTTATCCTTTTTCCCCAAGAGCCATTTGTATTAGGCTGCTAGAGCTGCCATAGCAGAATACCGCAGACTGCCTGGCTTAAACAACAGAAATTCATTTTCTCACAGTTCTGGAGGCTGAAAGTCCAGATCAGGGTACTGGCAGGGTTGTTTTCTCTGAGGCCTCTCTCCTTGGCTTGCAGATGGCCATCCTCTTGCTGCCTTTTCACTTGGTTGTCTTTCTCTGTGTGTGTCACCCTGGTGTCTCTCCCTGTGTCTTAATCTCCCCTTATAAGGACACTAGTCAGATT